TTAATTATACATACATATAAGAGTGTCGCACAAATAATTCTATGCAGTCTTTTTAAGATAATATAAAAATACTTATAAATATAATCAATTAAAATACATATAATCAAAATTGTATGTATTAAAATTCAATAGCATATAAAAAAGATTTTTTAAAATTATATATATATAATAAAAATCCAACATTTATATATATATATATATATATATATATATATATATAAATATATATTTATTTATTGTATATCATAAATATATATTTATTTATTTATATTTACCTATCTTTTTTTTATATATATGGTAGAAATACAATGTATGAGTTATTTTATTTTGCAAAATTTTTGAAAGTTAAACTATTAATTACAATGAAATTATTTCATATAATACCGAGATTCTTTTCATAATAAAGATTAAGAGAGAGTTAGATTTTATCATAAGATTTATAAAAGTCATAAGATAAGGTTAATTGCATATTGTATAGTTTATCTCTCATTTTTTAAAGTAAATAAATATCAAAGTTACATTGCTTGAACTGGTGCGTTTGAAGTATGTTGTCTTTTTGAGGGATGCAAGACAATATAGTACAAAAGCATTGCTGTAATTCCCAAGAAAAAGGAAATGATACAAATAATAAAGATTATATTAAAGTACTAAGCCTCTTTAACTGCAGGAGGACAAGCATATTGCCATAATAAATTTGCTGCAATATTTTCAAAAAAGCAGATAACATAGAAAGATAGATGTTTTCAAAATGTTTTGCTATCTACAGCATTGAGATATATAAAAATGTGCACTATGCCAATAACGGAAGCAAATAATATGGAATAAATGCGTTCTTTAATTGTAGGCTGCATATGTGGTGGATGACTGCAAGTCCGACAAAATTCCAATATTCCATGGGAATCTATCAAAATCCATATTGTCATACTTAGCCAATGTATTACACAATATATTATGGTATATACAGGCCAGATGCTTGCAATGACACTGAGCAATAAAATCCTTGCCACTACAATCACAATGATAAAAATGATTAAATAAATTTAAAATAAATTTTTAAAAATATATTATTTTGATACAAATTGTGTGATGAATAATATTTAATTTTGTATATTAATTATTGGATATATATGTACCTAAAATAAGAAAATGCCAGAAAAATTGAATTTGCTTATTTATTTAAAGATGCTTATCATATACAAAAATGAATGATATAATCTCTAAAAACTCACCTTTAAAAAAAGGTAAAAAAAGGCGACCAGTTAAGGGCACGCCATTAACAAAAATTATCCATTGCAAACCCATGTACAATAGAATTGTATGAAAAATTATCGATTATAAACCCATGTACAATCGTAACAAAAGTAATGAAATAAAAAAAAAATTGCGCCAAGTGAAAGTAGAAACTTGTACCAGTGGAAAATTAAAGTTGCAGACATATATAGAGTCGTATAATGAATCAATAAAAATTTAAATTTGCAAATGTAGAATTGTACCATAAAAAAACTTATCTTTTAAAAAAAAGATAAACAAGATGCCAAGTCCATGCGCCATGTGAAAAAGTGTTAAACAAAAAAGTATTTTTAAGTAAAAAAATCTATCAATTGACAAAAATTTATGTTCTAAAATTAATATCTCTACAAAAAGTAATGTCCAATTATTGCGCGAATAAATAAACATTTTTATAAAAAATTAAAATTTAAAAACTTATGCAAATTTAAAATTAATATAAAATAAAAAGAAATAAAAAAATTTTAGTTAAAAAAACTGGGCGCGCTGCTAAATAATATTCTAATGATATTAAAATTAAATTGTTACTTTTAAACTCATTGCAGCGCGCCCAGTTTTTTTAACTAAAATTTTTTTATTTCTTTTTATTTTATATTAATTTTAAATTTGCATAAGTTTTTAAATTTTAATTTTTTATAAAAATGTTTATTTATTCGCGCAATAATTGGACATTACTTTTTGTAGAGATATTAATTTTAGAACATAAATTTTTGTCAATTGATAGATTTTTTTACTTAAAAATACTTTTTTGTTTAACACTTTTTCACATGGCGCATGGACTTGGCATCTTGTTTATCTTTTTTTTTAAAAGATAAGTTTTTTTATGGTACAATTCTACATTTGCAAATTTAAATTTTTATTGATTCATTATACGACTCTATATATGTCTGCAACTTTAATTTTCCACTGGTACAAGTTTCTACTTTCACTTGGCGCAATTTTTTTTTATTTCATTACTTTTGTTACGATTGTACATGGGTTTATAATCGATAATTTTTCATACAATTCTATTGTACATGGGTTTGCAATGGATAATTTTTGTTAATGGCGTGCCCTTAACTGGTCGCCTTTTTTTACCTTTTTTTAAAGGTGAGTTTTTAGAGTTACACAATAACACGATATCTTACCGACGACGTAGAAAAAGAATGGTCATTTTAAATACCGTTAAAGTGTAATCTATAGTCGCAGGCAAACTGTCTACCAGATTCGACAACTCACTCATTTTGAAATGGTTATATACGTACAGATATTGAAAATATTGCATTATTAACATGTTCGACATAAATATAAGCCAATAAACAGTGGAGTATGGTACACCCGGCAACACACCGAGCAATCGAAGGCCGAATTTAAACGATGGACTCATGAATGTTGTCATTATTATTCGTCAATAATTTTGAATACGACGGAGTGAAAAATTAGTATCGGTTATACATTTGTCCGAGTATGAGACAGAACTAAGAGAGCATCGTCCATCTCTCCAAGTGCATCCCCACTCATGAAAATATGGATCAATCGCTTATTATGCGTCGCGTAGTAAGTCGAAATTATCTGTGGTAATACTCCATTCTATAATTTCATTGTAAAGCTAATAATGTATAAGTCCTCTTATAAAGAAGAGAAAATATCGGGAATAAATTGTCAGCTTTCTTGTAATTTCTCCTGACTATAACATATGTTTAGATCTACAAAAACTATTGCTCACATCTTGTCCATTTCGCGAAGATTGTTTAATGACAGTTTAATTGAACGATCGCATTTAGTATTCCAAATGGATGTAACTTAATTATCGTAGTGTTTTGTAAGAAATAATAGCGCAAAACATTTTGTATTTCTCTGCCTGAAATCGATTTACGTAATGGCGAGTGTTTTTCTTTAATAATTAAAAAAACGTTATTATACCGAACACGCAAATGTGGGAAGAGTTTTCAAAGTAAAAAAGTCATATACTTGAAATTATAAGATGCGCAGCAAAATTCATGTGCTGCACAATTAGATACATGCAGATCTTTTAGTGAAAATTCAGTGGTCTGTTTTAAAGATAAGAATGATTTAATATATAGAAAATACATATATTAAATATGTATTTGTTAATATATAAAGTGTAATACCGAAATGTCTATTTTTATGGTAAAAATTATTTTGACACAAATATTCTGTCTCATAAACATATTTATGAATATCTATATACTCATTAATATTATATATATTATATGTATATACATATATTTATATACATATGTATATATATACATATTTAAGTATATTTTCTAAGACATTTAACATATTTATAATATTCATAATTATTGAATTTATATCGATGTGTCTTTATAAACATAATTTGTTTTAATTATGTGATGTCAAGAATTTTGCAGTTGTAAAGCTTTTTAAAATTAGATTTAGATCTTTTCCAGCTGTCATCAATTGTTTGTTGGTAGATCTGTTATACTCGGAGGAAGAAATGGAACTGTGAATTAAAATAATATACGACAATAAATACATCGCGCTGAATGCAAGAAAAATGCAATATATATACAAGAAATACAGCTTTAATATTAAATTTTAAAGCTAACATTTATTAACTTTTAGTAAAATTAATTTTTATTTATATTACAGAGAACATATATAAAATGCTGCTAGAGCAAAAGGATTGTGTTAAACTTAGAAATCAAAATTATTTGCCAACAAAACAGAAAATAAAAGCTTATAACATTACAATATACATGATAATTGATTATTTCGTGTCTAAAGTCTACACAATGATATGTTAAATTACATTAATAAAGCAAATTCTAATATTGTGCGTAATTATGTTCTTAATGATGATTTAATGTTCTATATTCAAGACCATATGTTAAAACAAAATGAACAATATAACTTATTATTCTTTCAAATGTTTTTTTCTCTCTTTTTGAAATTGCTCTGTCTAAATAATTTTGTTATTATTTTGGAATAATTTCGAGGCAATTATAAGTGAAGTAATAATTTATTGAAATCACTACCATGTTTGACTTTTATTAGTTCATTGAAATTTAAATTTGTATTTTAAATTAATATCTTATTAATTTTTTAACTGTTAGTACACTTTGGCGTTATTACGAAATATATCTTTGAAGGCAAAATGAGAAATATCGAGGTGGAGTTTGAATAGTTCAGTTATATAAAAGCCCGGCAAGAAAAAGACTCGAATTTGATTTCCGATTCAATGACTTTGCTTCGATATTTTTCTCGCCTACGCTTTTTTATTCAGAAGGGAGGCAAATGGGATTTATTAAAATTATTAAAATTTAATATTATAGACGATATTTGGAAAAACAGATTTGATTAATATTTCGGATTTGCAGAATGCATATGTTAAATTATATTAATAAAGCAAATCTTAATATCGTGCATTATACTCCTAATTATTGGTGTAATGTTTTACGGTTATATATATTCAAGATTGCAAGAACAGAAATAACACAATATTCTTTATTTAAAATGTAATATTACTAATAAATAGATAAGATTTCTCCTCTCATTTTCTTTTCAGAATTATTTCATGTAAATCATTTTATTATTTTTATTTGGAGTAGTTTTGAGACAATCAAAAATAAAATAACAATGTCAAACCTAATTTAATGAAATAATTGATATTTTTAAGCAAATTGTTTTTTTTGAAGAAACTCTTTGTTTTTTTACTGAAAGCGAAATAACTTTATTCACTATTATGATCATAAATCCAATAACGCAGATAACTATATATTCCATACAAATTGTATCAGTGCAACGAAGAAGAAAAAGTTATCGATATTGTTGGATAAAGATTTTCTGATGCCTTTTGATAAGCAATCTTGTAGCCAATAGATAAGATTTTCTCGTGGAGAAAATTTCTTTCAATTCCTGGCATATAATATTGATGTGGTCGTTCACGTGAGTCTTTCGAAGAAAGAAAACTAAGAGAAAGGCTTTAAAAAATACGAAATTTAATAAACACAGTATTGCATAGAGCTCTTATTTTACAATATGTTTGAAGCTTGATTCGTGAAAATAATTATTTAATGATGTTAAACAGTTTCATATTCTCTTTCACTTACCAGTGGCAGAATCAGAGAGTTCAAGATCGCGATTACAGTCTCTCGAACATGAAGGAAATATCTCAGAAGAATAAACTCGAAGATCGGCGAGTTTGTGGCATAGTCGAACGGAAACTGCATTTGCACCGGAAACTCTCAGAGCTCTCCACCGGCGGAAATTGTGCGATAGCTCAAATAGTTACCCCTTAAGTAGAAGATAATGCACAAATTTCAGGATTATTATACAGGGTTTGTCCGGAAAGTAATGCGTCGCATTTTTTTGTGACGCGACTATACATCGCAGAGCGATGGGACCGGTTGGGGAGGAAGGGGGGTACCCTTAGCTTTCCAACGGTAGGTCGCTCAATTGTTTCCATGCGCTTGGAGGGTTAGGACGGCTTATTCTGTGAACCTCTGCTTAGTGGTCGCGTCGAACTTGTGATGGAGAGAACGATAGAGCAACGCTATGCGATAAAGTTATATTACGGCCTACCTGACCCGGATCGGTGTGGCAACGGTGCCGCAGCCGCCCTACAGTCCCGACTTGGCCCCGGCGGACTTTTTTTTATTTCCTCGGCTGAAAAGGGAGCTCAAAGGACAACAGCTCGAGTCGGTTGACAACGTACAAGCTACTTCGACGGCCTCCCTGAACAGCATCCCAGTCAAGGAGTTCCAGAAATCTTATGACGCATGGAAATCGCGTTGGCAAAAATGTATTGACGCAGAAGGGTCATACTTCGAACAATTTTAAGTTGTTTTACCTATGCGATCAATAAATTCTTTTTTAAAAAAATGCGACGCATTACTTTCCGGACAAACCCTGTATAGCTTCGAAATATCTATGCATCAGATTTACCTTTCTCGTCATCACACACGTGGATGCAAAACCATGGCTAGGTTTTCATCGCATCCAAGGTATCCGAGAATATTATGCAATCGATCTCATTTGTTTTCGATAATGCAATCTAGAGATCACGACGCGCCGACAGAAACTCATCAGCTTCAAAACGTCAGGCTGTAATCTAGAGTGACGCTCAGATCATCCATCAACTTGGAGAGATCGTTTATGATCAGATGCGCGAAATGTAGAAATATTGTAAGTACTACATATAATGACAGTAAAAATGTAAAAGCTAAAAAACGTCCCATATGAGAAGTCGAGCTACAAGCTAATGAAATTAAGATCGATCATTGGTGGCAGACTTATGGTACTCGTCGACATATAGCAATGTATTTGTCGAAATGCGTACGTGTTTACCGATCCTTTGGCCGAATTGTAGCCGAACGTTGAGAGAGTAAAACTACATACATGCTGGATCGATCAATTGCAATTAACTACGAGAATGACGTATGCACGACGAGCTAAATTGCGATGACAGATGATTACAAGCTTTTTCGCTCTTGGAAAAAGTGCATACGTGAAAAATATCAAACGTCAATTCCGTCTGATGAACTAAACTCAAAGTAATAACTAATTTTCTTTAAAAATGCAATTACTATATCCGATATGCTTCGCTACATTAGAGAAAAAAATTACAAATAAATCTAAAAATTCAACTTGAGAGAGAGAAACTGTCAATTGATAAAATGATAAAATGACATATTAATTGGTTACCTATTAGTTCTACATTAACGAAAAAGGAAAATATCACTGTCAGCACAGAAAAAAATATGAGAAAACAGAAGTTATTTAATTTTTTGTTTCTAAGCAAACATGCAATAACTAAAAATATATTGTATATTTTTAATATACGTGTAATTATATATTTTTAATATTACATTAAAGTAATAATTAAAGTATGTAGATACTTTAACTAATAACTCTGATAACTGTTGTCTCTTCTAAAAATGTACAACAATTTGTGCTCGATAGAAGAAATATATCTGTCCCTTAAAATCTCACTTGTGAATTACAACACAATTTATTTCTCGATATTTATCGAAGTGAATTTGTAATTTTTTATCTTACTTGCATCTGATTAAAAAAAGGCAACATAATATAAAGATATTACAAGATAATTAAAATTTTAGTATTTAAAGAAGAAATGCAAGATTAATACTAATAATTATTTCTCTTTATCTCTATTCATTTCTCTTTCTACAAGTAAATATGTTTCACTATTTTATTTGAGACATAATTCGACAGTATACATATATGACCAGCATACATTTTGACATACAGGTTTCAGTACATTGCGTGCAAAACTGAAATGTACGAAGCCGAAGCTTTCATGACCTAAAAAAGCAAATTCTTATGCATACAAAAAAGCACTAAGAGGAATACTTCTTCAAAGTCTAAATATCATTAACGCGATATATATTTCTTGGAAATTGTGTCAAATATTATTTCTCCCAATATTTATTTAACAATTATAATAAATTATCGTAAGAAAGGTATCACGCAACAAACTTACACTAGTAAAACTTTCCAATGTTAGATCCATAATTTTTCCGGCCGTGATCGTCAATCGTTTCTGCGACCTCAAAATCAGGAATAATAAAATTCGGCATTCGCTGATAGATAAATCATACCAAACCGCCTCATACGCCGCATCGCCGATGGATCTACTCTGGAAAAGAGTAAAAGGCTATAGATTATTTGAAATACATAGATGCATTTGCGTTGCGCTTGTTCGGATAAAGGTAAAAGCTAAAATATACCTTGGTACTCAAATATTCGCCAGCAAAACAAAAGACGAAAGCTTCTATAGTTACTGCGAGATATGGTATGACAAATTGTATAAAAATCCCGGATTTACTCTCTGTATTCATACCTAAGGACTAAGATATAATAGGATATTTAAAAATCATGGCTTTTAATATAAAATAATATGCATTTGAAAAAAAATGTCCTTTTCAAAGTATTTTTATATATTTTAAATATCGCAAGATCTAGTTTTATTCGCTTTGAAATTTTCGTTTTTAATATTTAATTTAAACTACATAATTTAAACAAATTATGTATTTTATCTTTTATACGTTTTACGTAAAAAAATTATTATAATTAATTCTTAAAATATAATATTTGTAGTTAGATAAAATTAATATGATAATAATTCCAAATAATTTTAAAATCATTTTATTAAATCCTATAAGAAAAAACTGAAGAATTTGTTATTGTTATATAATAACTAAAATAATCTTACTTACTATCACGACCATAAATCCTATAGCGCAAATGACAAAACTGTTCCATATAAATTGTATCAGAGCAATGAACGAGAAGTAATTCTCGATATTATTAGACAATGCTATAATCTTCTGGTGTCTCTCGATGAGAGATTTGGTGGAGAATACCTTAGATTTGAATGTGGAAGGAATCTCTTTCAACTCTTGACACATGATATCGATTTGCCGCTTACGTGAAGCACCTCGAAGTAAAAGAAAAAAGAAAATAAGCTCTTAAGCAACGCGTTCAAGCAAGATTCGACGAGAATATCAATTCGTCAGAAAAAATGTCAATAATCCATCAGAAGAACTTAGCTAAAAAATGTTCAGTAGGAACATTCGTTTTTTTTTCAACTTACCAGCGTTAAAATCAAAGAGTTCAGTATCGCGACCACGGTCGCCGTTTCTAACACATGAAAGAACAGTCCCAGAAGGAGGAACTCGTAAATCGGCGTCTCGTGGGTCTCGAATGGAAACAGTACCTGAATCGGAAACTCCCGATGTCCGTCCGCGGAAACTTTCCGGCGACGTACCTGGCTATCGATGAAGTAAAGAACGGTGGCTATGGCATTGACGGATATTATGGCGCTGGAGCAACGATGTGCCAGATTAGCCTTGTCCGTCATCACGCACTCGTGCAAATCGGTCACGCGATTTTTCCAATCGTCGTCCATCGCCACCAGAATGTCCACGAATATTCTACAATTCGATCTCTCGAGAATCTCATGGAATGATAGAACTCCCTCGAGACATTAATCAGCGATCGCCGAGCTGGTCTTACCGGCGATTGAACCAGAGACTGATCAGCTTCAGGATCGTCAAGCTGTAATCCAACGTGAGACCCAGACCGTCCATTAGTTTGGTCAGATTGTTGAAGTCTAGATGCTCATAGACGTACGAGTATTGAAAGTACTGCATTATTATGAGGGTCGTCATGTAAAAGAGCCAGTAGAACGTCCCGTTCGAGGAACCGGGCCACAACCCGATCACACTGAGACCGATCTTCAGTAACGGGCTTACGGTACTCGTCAACATCATAGCTGCGCGTAACGTTGCATTGAACCATCACTCCGATCGACCGTGCACATTACTGTTTTTTTCCCGATGAGGTGGAGCGACGAGAAGCGACTCGATTTTTCAAAACAAATGCGCGATCGAATCTCTTATTGTCAGTCTAACTTCGTAATGCGCACCCCTCTTCTCATCGCAGATATAGTAATTTCACCAACTAAAACTACCACCGAGGTAGGAGAGTGCGGGTAGCGATCAATCGCAATTATGCAACACGCAATATAAACTGTACGACGATAAGCAAAATTGCGATAATAGATTACAAATTGCAATGATTATGGGTTTTTGCATGCAAAAAAAAAAATAAACGTGTATTACATGAATAATTGTCTTCAAAAGAACATACACATGTAATTATCATTATTAATAAATTTAGTTTAAAAAATGACGTTAAAAAAGATAGAAAGGTCTAAGCTTGATAGATCTGAAAATTGTATCTTGCTAAGCCATAAATTATACAAATAACATACAAAGAATAATAGTCAGATGTTTAGTATATGTCGACGTAGAAAATGAAAAATATCATAAAAAGAGAAGACTAAAGCTGCGCTTCAAGTATAAAGATAATAAAGGTGCATTTGGCATGTTACATATAAATAAAAAATTTTAATATATATATACATGTGTATTTTTTTCCATTTTCACATTTGTAATAAGTATCAAAATGTTTGAGTGAATTATTTATCACACCCAAGCGCGAAATATTTCATAAAATATAATGCTTTTCAATTTAGTATGTATCGCATGCGATACAAACACATAGGAGGCAAACACTTTCATGATATAAAAAATAAATTCATAAAAAAGGACTTGAACAATTAAGAAATATATTTGCTGTGATATCTCATGTTTATACATTTTTCTAAAGTGAGTTTTCCCGACAATAATTGTTAATCATTTTTGAGACCAATTTCCAATCGCCAATAACTCTCACCAATATAAACTGAAATAAAATTGAAAATAAAAAGACTATTATAGATGATACTATAGTGTGTGTGAATTGATTTGTATATTGTTATCTAAATTAATCAAATTAGTTCGATTTGATTAATCAATTTATTCTAAAAGAAACATATAACTCGAGTTCAAAATATATATATAAATATTGCAATAATAATATTTTGTAAAACAATGATTATATGTTGCTATTACCCAAATTATATATGTAATAATAATTGTTAACAGATGATGTATGATATAATGAAAGAGTCAACGAACGCTTGATTTAATAGGTGAATGATTTAAAGCGCTAAATAAAAAAACTACATTATTAATTGATCAAATAAAAAATAAACTCAATGTTTTTATATCGAAAACCATAGAAAGAAGTTTTAAGATTTATAATGAATTTTATTATGTACTTACCGAATAAAAATTACATTTTTCTAGTAATTCGTTGATATTGCGAATGACATCTTTTTAGCATGGAATAACTTCACTGTCAGAATTGTTCATCAAATAAAATACAAGTAAGCGCTGTGACTAAAAACAAGAAAAAATTAACTAGAAATATCGAAAAAAACACATTGGAACAATCACGTAACAGATCTGTCTCATCGTCATGATATCAGTAAGATAATGCACACGGTTCAATTTCTATTGATTGCGATTAGGATATTATAGAATATCCCGTGCACAACATATAAATTTTTAACTAGAAAATATATTTAATATATAATTATAAAAAATATAATTATAATAAATGTTATTTTCATCGATCACCATAATTCCACACATAAAATCTCATTTGTTAATGCCTCAAGAAATTTCTCAATAACATGCGTTGTCCGATATTTCAATTAAATTTTTATTATTTTTTAAAATTTTATCTAGATTTTATATAATAAGAGAATTCTCTCTCTCTAGTCATATATTTATAACAGTGTTCTTTCTTTATATTATTTTCCAGTTATATATATTACAATTGAATAAGAATTTCATTTTCTCTTGGCATACATTTATAACAATGATCTCTTTATTTTATCATTCTTTCCAGTCATATATAGTTGGAGAAAGCTTATCAATAATTCTGCAATAGAACACTGAAACAAGAATTCAACCTTTATGAACAAAAGATTATTCAGAACAGAATATGCAACAACTATACAAGTACAGGATCAACCGAAATTTGGGTAAGCGAATCCGGTCACATGCCAATGAAACACAGACTGCGATACAATCAAACGATACTCAACATTTTGTCGCTTTTCGAGAACTAT